ATTAAATATTAAAAAATTTAATTTGATTGCATAATTTTTTTTTTTTCATCGATGATAACTAATTTGGGGGCCACATGATAAAAGATAAGAAAGACTTCGGATGATATACGTAAATTAAAGTTGCTTGGAATTGTATATATATTTTTTAGTTAAAATATTGAATTTGATGTATTGGTTCTGGTCATGGTTGGCATGTCATACCAATACTCAGTATTAATTGGTATATGAAAAATCGCCTCTCTTATTAGAGTGAGGCCATGACTTGACCTCCTCTCTATCTCACAATCTGCAATGGATCCTTTTCTAGACTTTTGTTCTAGCGGAAACGGACCGTTAGTGCACAACAATTTGTCCAGGTAACTTCTGCGTCATTGCTTATGTTTTCGTTTTATGTGTGATAATTTTCAGATGTGTCATAACGAAAATTAAATGAGACTCATACCTGGTCCCAAATTAATCCCAGTCCAAGCATCACATTTCTTTCAAAATGTTGTTTTCGTCATCAATATAGCGTTTGAAAAGAAAATGCAACGATAATTAGAGAGAAAAATTTCTTATCCATGCCACCGAAATATGAGACCCACATAGGAGATTTTTTTTCCCCATCGAAGTATAATACATTTGACAAATGCTAGATTGTTTCTACCTAACATTCTCCAACTCACTCACAAAGCACATCAACACCAATATATATATAGTATTTATTACTATTACCTTTGTAATTTTCTAGTTCTTTTGCTCTTTCCATGCCTCCAAAGTTGTATTCAGAATATTTGTGGATTGTAAAGCCTGTCTGTTCCAGTTGTTAATACACTTACAACCTCCCCAATCTTCGATTTGGGCTCAACCTAACAGTCTTCTTTTTTTCAGAAAAAAAAACCATCAAGAACGGCCCAACATACCAGAGGTGGACTTTAGGTTGGACCAAGAAACTGACATCTAGGGCCTCAGGCCCATGCATAGAGGAGCCTTCTTTGCAGCATTCAATCATCATGAAGATAAAATGGAAGGACCAAATTTAATGACCATTATATTTAGAAATTCGACTATCCTTGGCCCTAGCGTATCCCATCTTCATGGTTTCGACGGATTACTGACTACTGAGCTCAATTGAAATTCGGCCTTCCACATTGGTCCTAGATTCTATTGCTATTTATAATCTAATCTTTCAAACTATTCTTTAATATTGCTCCTAGTAATTGATCTGTCTTAATTTAAGAAACTATTAGATATAGCGATATAAAACTAACGGTTAGAGGTTAGAAATTAACAATCACCCTGAATACAATGGTGTTAACAACAGGACCAAGGATAAGGTCAGCCGCCATCTAATTAGCTACAACAGTTAGGAAAAAAGACAATTACTCTGGAATTGAGGGCTATAGCTAAGAGTGTGTTGTGATGAATGTATCTGGTGGATCAACGCGTCTGTTATATAAACCCAAAACCCTTAACACCTATAGAAAAATATTTTTATTTTGCTATTTAATTTTTTTTAATATATATTTTTCATTCTTTATTATTAATTATTTAATTGAATTTAGTTTTTTTAATATAATGTAAATTTAAGTTCTTAATATGTAACTAAACTTTAGTTTTCTATTGTTATTTTTTATTATGTTTAAGTTTAGATTGTAATAAATAATATTTTATTAAAACTTTACTAATTTTATTTAAATTTCGATTGAAAGCAAGTGATATTTTATTAAATTTTAATTTAGAAAAAAATTTAAAGTAAAATATTATTCAATAAGTATATAAATATATATCTGTAAGTTATATGGTATATGTTAGGTTAAGTAGTAAGTATAAATTTTTAAATATTTGGATAAATATTAAATTTAAAAAATTATATATATAAATTTTTAAATTAAATATCAAATATATTTCATACCGGATGGTACCCGAAAATGCTCACCCCCTGTTAGGATCCTAACTCTAGCTCAATAAGATAGCCCATATTCATCGAAACTAAGGCCCAATTGGTATATATTAATAGTTTAGCCCAAGAAGAATTAAACCAAACTTATATGGAATAAGCCCACAATTTAAATTAGCAAAACCATTATCAAATATATAAAATACTCATAAAAATTAGTAAAAGTAAATACGAAGTTAATTAAAAATTAAGTATTTATATTTCTAGATAAACTGTAATGTGAAAAAAGGTTTGCTCAAAGTATTGTGAAACAAAGCTAAAGTAAAAAAAATAAAAAAATAAAAAAATATACCAATTATAAGAGTCAAACTTTCAAATCTCAACTTAATAAACCAGAGACCCAAAATAACTAAATCCAAACTGGCCTGACCTCTTTGCTAAGTATAACATCCTTTTGATCAATTATGCTAATTTTGTCTCATATTAGGTACGTTAACAAATTTTCCATGTTCAACATACTTCAGTCCCTACAATTCACGCTTTGGAAACAAAATTTTCACTAAAAAAAAATCTGAAAAATCAAAATTTACTCCATCCCTGAACTGGAGGTAGTCTAATGACAGAATCCTTGATTTTCTTTTTATTCTGAGCCCAAATAAGTTTCATTCCTAATATTTTCATTTATTAAACCTATCTCTAGCATGGTAAGAAAGATAGCCCTTCCCTTCCTCCGCCATCTCCTCTTCTTCGGCACATTCTGGCCTGTTTTCGATGTCGGCATTAACTACGGAACTCTCGGAACCAACCTTCCTTCACCCAAGAAAGTAGCTTAGCTCCTCCAATCCACCTTACTTGATAAGGTCAAAATCTACGACACCAATCTGGAAATCCTCGAAGCCTTCTGCAACACCGCCATTGATCTTGGGTTAGTTTTCACATGGTAGCCGTAGAAGACCAGCATGTTGCAAACTCCAGCGCCGATGTTTCCGCCGCCGACGAATGGCTTGCCACCCGTGGCGTCCCCTTCATTCCCACCACCTCCGCTGTATCTGTGTCAGAAACGAGTACTTGACAACGAATTCCGGTCGACGCACTGGTGCATGCAATGCAGAAACCATTTGGTGCTTGTAACTCGTGGGCTCGACCTAAAAATTTAGGTCACCACGCAGCACAGCATGGCGGTTCTCGCCTTGGGTTTTTGGCCGATACCGGAGCGCCGTTCATGATTAATGCTTACCCATATTTCGCCTACAAGGAAAACCCCAGTGCCGTCGATTTAGAATATGCTCTGCTCGGAAATGCCACCCGCATCCATGACCCAAAAGGGTACATCTACAACAACATGCTGGATGCTCAAATTGATGCAATTAGATCGGCAATAAACGCTCTGGGGTTTGGTAATCAGACGATCGAGATCACAGTTTCAGAGTCTGGGTGGCCATCAAAAGGGGCTCCTGGTGACTCCACCGCCACGCTGGACAATGCAAAGAAATATAACACTCGGTTGATCGAATGAGCACACTCCAACAAAGGTACAAATTAAGTCTTTTAAGGTCTATCCTTTTTCTTCAAGAATCCCCACAGGCAACAAGATTCCATCTAAGAGCAGCGCCTTCTCAACCCAATGCATTTCTAAGGTCTATCCTTTTTCTTCTTGGTTTCTCTTTTTCCCATAAGTTTTCTGGGATATTCATTTCTTATTTTGTTTTGTAGAGGCTGCAAGTAGCTGAGTTTTTTGGTCTCCGTTCCAGCTCTTGCGTGATTTATGCTACAAACGCCAGAGGAACTTCTTTTTCTGAGGTGGTGGCTGCTCAGCTTACTCCTAAGGTTGATTGCCTACTTCAGCCTTTTAATCTTTTCTGAATTTTCTTTCTTGTTTTATGCTTGTGCACAGAGATTAGACCAGTCATAGTAATATCTATCTAAAAATGTTCAGTGCTTTCTTGCAATATTCGTCACAATTAAGCTGTTCTGGAGTTCTGAGTCCATATAAACACTTTGTTTTGTATATTCTTCTAATAATCTCATCTTTTTTTTTTAAAGTAAAACTACTGATCAGATCTTCCGACCTTTGGATTAGGCTGCATGAAAGGAAATTTCCATGCCTTCAACTTTTCATGAATCTCATGATGTCTTTTATGAAAGAAAAAGCGCACCATCCTTGTGAATAATCAGCGATCTAATAAAAAAAATAGAAAAAATGTACAAAGTATTTTCAACATGAACCTTATGTCCCTAAAATATAGTTTGTTGTGAGGCAGCCACTACAAGAAAAATGATTTTTAGTGACAGAAATTTGTGATAAATTTTGAAATAATTACTATAACTTATCTTAATTGTGACAAATCTAAAAAATTAGTCATAGATGCATACATATTTAATGATGAAAAAAAAAATTCATCATAAAAAATATATTTCATTATCGAAAAATATTCATAAAGATAAAATAAGATTTTGTTGATAAAAATCATCACTATAATGCATTACAATTATGACAAAATTCTAATATTGGTCATATATATTTTACACATTCAGTGATGACCAAATAATTTAGCACTAAAAAATATATTTCATCACTAAAAACTGTTAATTTTCTCTAATCAAGGCATCCTACATCAATAAAAAACATATAAGAGAATAAGGTTTTGCACTATAAATATATCCCACATCGACAAAAAATATTTAAGAAAATAAATTTTTGCACTATAAAACATGTGAAACTCAATAAAACTTGAGATTAGTTTGGGCCTGATTAATTTTAATTGGGCTTGATTAATTTTAATCGAGTTTGATTAATTTTAATCAAAATTGATTAGTATTGAAATAATAATATTTTTTATTAAACTT